GAAAAAAAAAGCATAATTAATTAATAGACCTCACCAAAAAAACCTGTTCTAAAAATTTCATCCCTTCCTGCCTCTCATTATCTGGAGGTCCAGTTCACAAACTATGCAACTCTAAAAGTCTTCTTTAATAATCAGTATCTTTAACAATATTCATTCTCTTTAGAGGCTATTCCAATTTGACCTTAAAATATCATGTTCTCTGATGTATTGTTACACTTTACCTGTGATAACTCAATTATGGCTTTAGTTTCTTCCTTTGATTGGCTTTAACATCTCCATATTTTTAAACAAAAGCCTCCACAATGATAAGGAAATTTCTTACTGCCACAGCGCCACCTACTGGTACGCCATTACAGAGGCAAGCTAGCGGTAGCTTTGATCCACAGTTTGGAGCCCTTCTGAGCTCTGGTTTTATAAAATGCCAATTTCTTTGTCATTTTGAGAAACTATCACTTCTCTTGATAGCTATTAAGCCTCTTGCTGTGATATAAAGTCAGCAAGTTATAATAAAAAATATGCTTTTATTCTTACTGTTACCTTAAATTGGCCCTGACTTCACCGACTTTGATTTTCTCTGTCCTATTACTGTAGCAAGGGCTCCAGATTGTGTGGGCAAGGGTTTGGATCTGGCGAAAATAACTTGGGGAGCTTCCAAAGATCCTGAAAAATGTAAAAAAACAAAAAACAAAAAACAAAAAACAAAAACAAAAAAAAAACCCTACTTAACACTTTATTTCATCTTGGTGAAAGGACAAGAGGTCAAATCTAAAACTAGGTTTTAGGCTAGGACAACAACCAGAGAGAATGGCAAAGGGACACCGGCCTGGAAAACTGCCCAGGATATAGCATTAGGTGGCAGGTGACAGAAGGAATCAAAGAAGGAAAGAGAAGACTGAGATATACATTGAACATAAAGAAAGGAGAAAATTAACAGCTATGTGGTATTCCAAGAAAATGAGTAAATTATAAAACAAGAACAAAAACAAAACTATGTTTTAGGGGATCATCGTTTGCCCAGATGCTGCCACGGCAATTTCTGCCAAACACCCAACCTGTCCCCTTTGTTTTCTAATACCGTATGGGTGGGTAATCAACCCAAATTCTTACCCTTCTAGTTTTGGGGAATGAAGAACGTTGTGGGAGCAATAAAGGATATAAGCCACCAGGGAAAGCATCTCACGAGCTTTACTTATTTTCATTATTAATCTATTATACTTCAGATCCATCCAGGATCTATAACAGCTATATAACGCTTGGCAAAAAGAATAAGAATTTAATAATAAAAATAGGTCATTCCGCTGAGAAGTGCCAGGCAAATAAGTTTGCTTGAAAGTTAAAGTGGGGGTGCCTGGGTGGCTCAGTTGGTTAAGCATCTGCCTTTGACTCAGGTAATGATCCCAGAGTCTTGGGATTGATTCCTGCATTGGGCTCCCTGCTCTGCGGAGAGTCTGCCTCACTCTCTCTCTGTGTCTTTCATAAATAAATAAATAAAATCTTTTTAAAAAAAGTGAAAGTGACTTCTAGATCCTTAGAATTTATGCTCCACTGGGTTTACTCTGTATTAAAATAAGTTGCTGTCTCTTGTCTCACTGGGGGACAGTGAAGTGGGCAGCCAAGAGTCTTGATGATGTGCTGTTAACCAAACCACATTGAAAGAAAGAGGATAAAGCTAAAGTGTGTTTTACCAAGGCCCCAAATAGCCAATATTTAACAAGGACATTGTTTCTCACTTCTTGTAAATGAAATCCAGCATCGGTGTTCAAAAGGCAGTAAGAATCCTTCCACCAACTACAGACCCACAAGAGCTTTAAACAACAACAAATTGGGCTGGGTGCGGGGGGGTGGGGGGGTGGGGGTGGGTGGGGGTGGGGGGCAGGCAGAGGCGGGGCTCCAGGACAGAAAAGATGTAGGAAGAAGCGAAAGCCAGGGATGAGGGCAGCTGGGATGGCTTCAGACCCTCTAAGAGTGGGGGTTTACACTACAAAGTCAGTATGAGAGAAATGCCAGTTATCTAATCTGTGGCTCTCTGCTATTTTAGTTCACCATCGCCACTTCAGAACTCAAGAACGCCATAGTTATAAAGAACGAAGGCCAATGGCTTTGGCTTTGAGCCAAAGGCCCTCACGCTAGCTTCCTTCTCAAGTTTCCAAATTTGCTGACTCTACACCTTCCCTTCCATAGCAAACTCTGAATGTTTAGTTTGAAGTAGGCAAGTCAAGAAAAAGTAACGTTCGTGGTGCATTCCAGGCCTTCTGCTGGCAGCTTTCACATTCACTACCTCATTTAATGTTCATAATGAGAAGAACAAGGTCGCTAGGTCACCATCAGTGGGAAAGGATTCGGAGTTGTTTTTCAACAATGTGCTGGGATGAACCAGTATCTCATTCAGGCGCCTGATGAACAAAGTCATACAGCTTTAAGGCCTGGTTGGCTAGACTTATAGAGGGTCAAGGGGCCAGGAAACAGACTTTCGCTATATTCATGCACTCAATAATACCATGTTTAACCAACTGAGTTAACTGGACCAGACAGGGGCTAAATACCTTTCAAAGTCAGCCTAGCGATTCCTGTAGAGGAACAAATGTCCCATCTCAGAGAGACACATAAACTTTGACTTATTATGAGGGTTGTTCTCCCTTCTTGTGGGTTTAAAGAAAAAATGTTTCTAATAGCAACCCACCCTCCTCTTTGTAGGACACCCTTCTGAACCCCTAGAATAACACCTTTAAATCTATGTGTCATACAGAAAAATACATGATGATTTATAGTTGAAACACTGATGTGCCAGGTACTCACTAGCTGTATAAATAACTCTAACAGGGTTAGTTACTATTGTATGGCTAAGGCAAAATGTTTATTGGGAAGTATGGGAGATGCCTGAGACTCACTATACCATGCTCATCAGTGTTTCTTTAACTGAGGATCAGGAACACTAGGGAAGGCACAGAATAGGAACAAATTCAAGGCACTTTAGAGGGCCAGAGTCATTAGAGACAAAAGCAGTAAACAGCAGGCTACCTAAACAAGGTGGAAAGAATAATACACTTGTCTGAGGTAGAAACAGGGAAAAGGTAGGTATTAAAATCCAGGGAGACATACAACTTCTCTGTGCTCTGTGGTTTTATGCTGCTACTGAATTCATTACCACTGTTACAAAACCTCTAACTTATAACTTCAGTCAATAAATAATAATTCATGATTGAGATGCTGAGAGTATGAGCCACCTGACCCCTCCAATTTCCAACTTCTTCAGCCAAAGTGCATGCGGAGAGTTCAATTCTGTACTTAATACATCAGTTTGACATGCAAATGCAGTAGGCAGGTTTCCAGCATCTCCTGTGTTTTGCAACTCTCTCTAGCTGCAGCAATTTGCTGGATAGAGATATTCAGCTGTATATAGTGTGAAATTCTCCCAGCCACCCATTTCTAGGCTATAACAGTTCCAGGGGGAAATTTTATTTCCTTAAAAATAACTACCATATTCTAGTAATTCTTTTTGGGGGGAAGGGAGGAGCAAGTAGATACTCATCAAATAGTTTTTGAATTCAGGTTCTAAGATCTTAAGCAGAATACAAAATCTTTATACTCTTACATTATTACCTGACCTGGGTATAGGTAGAAAGCCTTTCTCTCTATATTGCATCCTTTAATTCCATAGTAAGCCTATGAGAGATGTATAACTATCTCCATGACAGTCTAACCAGGCTTTTGGTGGTCTTATAATTATTTTAAGGTATACTATGTCACACACATACCCTTCACACCTAGGCCCTATAGACTCCTTGATGGTTCTCCTTCTTGTACTCAGGACCAAGTTCCCTGCATGGTACCTCTATAACCTGTTCTCTCACTGCTCCCTGGCTCATGCTCCAGTCCCTGGTCACAGTGACACAAGGGCTCCCAAAACACGGTGCATTTTCACCCCGCTATCCACTCTCCCACCCCATTTCCACATGCCTTGTTCCTTCTTCCTGGAACTCCCTCAGCCCCATGCCTCCTTTCTCCTGGTGTGGACTTGTCAATGTTCAACCCTCTGCTTAGATGTTTCTTCCTCCAGAAAACCCTCTCTAATAATGAAAGAGCTCAGGCCAAGTCGCTGGGATGCAAATACTGCCGCAGTATTAACTAGCTGTGGGATTTTGGATACATTTTATAATCTGTGCCTGTATTTCTGCAGCTGTAAAATGGGGAACACGGTTCCGGTTCATATGCCTGTTTTGTGAACAAATGTGTTATCACAGGTAAAGCATTCAGAACTGTGCCTGACACACCAGATATTTAGCTGATGCTCTCTATGATTATTCTACACATCCCCAGTACCTGGTAGTTACCCACTCTGTACCCACTCCCTGTGGACTCTTCTTTCTGCCTGAGTTTGTAAATTCTTGGACAGGGGCACTGCTAGGTACACCCTGTATGCCCCTCTATGCCCAGCGTTTCACTTTCTCTATGGTAGGGACTCAAGAAAAAATATTTATTAAAGTGAATCCAAGTGATTTTCTTTTAATCTTCTGATTACTTATTAGTTCATTTTTACAAATCAGTACTCATAGAAAACCCTCCCTGGACCAATGCTTCCTGACTTATACATGGGTATCTAAACTGACCCTAGTACGCAGCTGGCAATAGACCAGCAAGGTCACTATATGAGCATGACAGGACTTCAATCAAAGGCCGGAGCTTTGTTGTGCTGAGAGAGTTAGTAAGGGATACGACACGTGGGGGTACTAGATGAACAGTGAAACACCAGTCAAATACAGACACTTTTACTAAATGCTGCAAATCCAATTACTCTCTCCCAGACTGAGAAATGTAATCCACCCCGAACTAGTTCTGGAAAACCATCCCATCCTCAAGTGCCCATCTGCCAATGCTTCAAAAGCCTGGATGCTTCTTCATTCTGTGAACTGCATGTTTCTTCAGAGGCAGAAGAGAGAATATGCCCAGGCCAGCACCCTTCCTGTCCTCCCGACTGCAGGAGAGCTGGCGTGCCCACTAACCTGTGGAGCTGGTGATGGGCATGAAGGCTGCGGAGTTAAGGCTGCTCTGGAGACCATTCAGCTGCCCTTCTGCAGAGGACCCTCTGAAACACAAGCAGCTTGGTTAGAGTGGCAGATGAAAGGGGAAGTCAAATGCAGGCCCTCCCACAGCTCTGCCTCTTGCTCCTGGTGTTCTTTCTCAGGTACCACAACTATGAGTCTACTGCATTTGATGGGTAGAGCCAGGAATGGTGCTAAATGTTTCCTACAGTACACTGGAAGGTGTCCTCAAACAAATTTTCGAGCCCAAGATGTTAATAGTGCTGAGGTTGAGAAACCATTGCATAGAGGCACCTTCCCTCATGCCAACTCTGACAAGAGATGGGACAGAGTATACTGGATGCTTTGGCATATACTCTCCAACCACGTGTCTTAGAAATTCTATGACTGGGCTTACAGGACATGCCAGGTCTCCCTATTACAGGCTCTTACAGATTTATATTTCTTTCATTGCATTTACCTGAATTATAAGAGAGTGTGCAACTGGTTGCTTAATATCCATCATCCTTGCTAAAAAGCTCCAGAGACTGAGATCGTATCAGCCTTATTCACTGTTGTGTCCATAGGTCCTGATATTGCATTTTGCACACATTAGGTATTTAATAAATATTTTAAAAAACAATCTTGTCTATTGCCCCGTAAATACAAATTACTTGTTGGACTCATCTACCTTGACTTCAGTTGATGTGTGAAAATTATACCTTGGAAGATTAAAATTTTCATATGCTCAGTTCTTTATCTGTTGAGCAGCATCCAGCCTGACCTTTGAAATCCTTCTCCTAGCACTATTTTTCCATTTATTCATCCATGCAAAAAATACTTAAGTATCACCTGTGCTTGGTACTAGCAAGGACGTAGACATTAGACAAATACATGAGGTACAAACTACGTGATAAATGCTAAGGAGAAAAAGCACAAGACATTTTAAGAGAATGAAAACAAGGGAACCTGACTGAGATGGTGATGAGAGTGGTCAAGGATGGTCTTTCTGGAAAAATCATATTTCAGCTACATCATGAAGTTATGAGAAGTAGGTATTGGCCAAGAGTAGGAAACAGGTAAGAGCTTTTCATGGAGAAGAAATAGCATTATATATATGATATATATGGATCATATATATAATGAATCTGAGACAGAAAAGTGGTGAGAATGTCCTAGGAGCCCTTAAAGAACAGCAAGGTGGAGGGGGAGTCAAGCAGTGTTTGCCAAATGTCCTTGACAGGAACCACCTGGGATCACTTATTAATCATACAGCTTTCCAGGCCCTTCCCTTGGAGATTCTGACTCAGTGGGTCTGGGATAAAGCCTGAGAACTGAGGCTTTTTATAGCTCCCCAGGCGTCTAAGTGATTTCTATCGCCAGAGAAGTGAGGAAAACATTGACTAGTGGGTAAGGGGAAGGTGGGAGGAAGAGCACTCAGAGATTCTGGCAGACGCTTAGGTGCCATGCTCCTTGAGAACATACCCCAGCAGTGATGCAAAGACCACAGTGTCTTGTACCCTTCCCCTCTAACAAGTTGCAGTCCTGGCCCTACCCACTCCTTTCCACTTTCACTTGGAGGACAAGGAAACTGTAGAGATGAAAAGGAGAGAAAGGAACAGAGGGCTTCTCCCTTTTCCTATGAGCCTCAGCCTCGGACAGCTACATTTGAAATGCTTATGCATTTTATTTCAGCCCTTTATGGACCCAAAGAACTACCCAAAGCATCTGTAGCTAATACTGATTCTTCTAGGTCTAAGGGAAAAAAGGAAAAGTTCTGGAGCCTAGGATGGGCTCTTTTCTCTACAGAAGTTAAAAACCATTCAAAAAAACAAAACCCAAACCAAAAACTTTAGGGCCCCTTGCATGCATTGGTGGCAGCTGAGGCAAGAAAAGCAACGGGGCTGGTCTCAGTCTCAGAGAGGAAGCCCTGAGAGTTAAACAGTAAAAGGAAGCAGACAGGCAAAGTACTGATGTCAGTAGAAGAAATGAAATCAGTGAACAGGGAGCTCCCCAAGGGATGAACAGAGTCCCTAGGTGTTTGCAACGAGTGAGTGCAGTGTCTCCCAACCTCTTCCTCCTCTCTGGAATTCTCTCTCTCTCTTTCTTTTAAGATTTTATTAATTTATTCATGAGAGACCACAGAGAGAGAGAGGCAGAGACACAGGCAGAGGGAGAAGCAGGCTCCTCGCAGGGAGTCCAGTGTGGGACTCGATCCCAGGACCCTGGGATCACGACCTGAGCCGAAGGCAGATGCTCAACCACTGAGCCACCCAGGCGTCCCTCCTCCCTGGAATTCTTATCCCACACTTCACCCTCATGGGCTTCCTCCTGTTCCTCTCCTGACTTCTGCCCCTATGTCCATCCTCTCTGTTCCAGCTCCAGTCACTCTTCCATCCTCCTCTCCATCCATTCCCATCACAGGACTTGGGAACCACCTCTAATTCCAACTTTGAACATTTCTAATGATTCTGCTGTTTCTAGCACAGGCTCCCCATTTCCCCGGTGGCGGAGAAATGTGTCCAACAGCCGCTCAAGAGGAAATTCAGAGTGAATTTTTCCATGGAAACACTGGTACAGAAAATGGTTTGGGTCTATGTTTTTACTACTTCAGGCACATCAGGGATAAATATGCTTTTGTTGTGATAACATCATTTTCCCTGGGAAAATACATGCCAGCTTCTGGACAACCCACACCTAAATGAGAACTTTTGAACCACAGCTTATTTAGGGCCTGTATGTTAACTTGCAATTGCTGGTATGCTTCTGCAATAATTCTTTGCTGCTTTCCTGGGAGCATCTGTGTTTTAGGAAATAGTTACACAGGAAGGTACGTCTGTGTTTCCTTGCTTGTCTAAGTCGCTGTGTTTTAACACCAAGATAACAGGACCTACCTCATAGGGTTGTTGAGGATTAAATAAAACAGTGAATGTGAAGCACATCTTAGCATAGTATCTGGGATTATATTAATGGCTAAATAAACACGAACCTTCATTAGTATTGGTATTTTTACTTAGAGATACTAACCATCTTTGCGTTCACTAGAACCCTATGTACACTGAAATATTAAGCCAGGTGACTTGGTAACTCTAATTCAATATGGAATATGAGTGCTACCCTATGCAAGAATGACCATGACATAGTCAGAACTGAAAAGTTAACAGCAATTTGCTATCAAAATCAAAAGGTAGTTAACTGGCAACCTACAGGGTAGAAATCTCATGGTCAGAATTACTCTTAAACTCCCTTAAGAAAAGAGGTCTCATTTGAGATTGACAAACTACCTCTCAATAAGTCCAATAATCACATTTTTTCAGCTTCAGAATGAACCACCGTTTCTTCAGCTATGCACCAAATGAAGTAGCTGGCCTGTCATACAACATGGCTTTTGGCATGAGAAGAACCCACAGCACAGTGGGATGCTCATCCTACATGAGAAGCCCATGGGAAAGGAGGCTGATGGGAGGAACAATGCATCTCCCATTCTGTCCCAAGAGGAACACAGAATAGAGTCAGTCGCTACTGAAATTATACATGCTCTTTCTCTCTGAAGAGCTGAACGTGCAAAGTTAAACGTGTGTTTGCTGCAGGTCCATTGCCTGTTGTTTTCACAGTACCTATGGAAATATAAAGAGGTGGCTAAAAGATGAACTCAGAAAAGTTACTTTTCTGCAGTGAGGAATACTGAAAAGACGGGACAAGCAAAGTGCCATAAATTTTAAGTTAGAGTTTAAACCAAGAAGAGTGCTAGATGTGACTATGTAGTCCCGTAGTGTTTCTTATCTGTTCTTCTTGGAAGAGATGTCATACTGGGAGCTGGAAGAAGGTGAGATACAGCCCCAGGTTGAGAGTTTGAGGCTTTCTACAATCTGGGCTGTGGTGCTGGGCTTAGTTCAGATCTATCTCCACAGAATGAACTGCATAATTATCAAAAGTTCCTGAAGGGCATGCTAATTGATTGACTGAGCCATTTCAAAACTGAAATAAGATACATGGCCATGTCTATATAGTAACATGTATGGTAGCAACGAAGAATTCCAATTAGAATTAGAATTAGAGGAATTTCATTAATAATGACATGCTCTTTTCAACTAAGGCAGGATCTTTCCTTTGGACGGATTCATTTCAAGTACCTGAAGAGTTTCCCTAAGTAGTAAGTGTGTACTTTCTAACCCAGAATTCAATTCACTTGCTACACTCTTGCCTACTCCTTTGCTCTCTTGCATTTTCCCGGAGTCCAAGAAAAGGCCTGACTTTGAGTGAGGGAGAATAGCCTCTCTGGGCCTTTCAAAGAAATTGTTTAGCAATGCATTACAAATATATAACATCTCTAGAAGCAGAAATATTGCCTACATTTATTATTGAAAGATTTCTTCTAGTGCTAGTCTCCATTTAGGGAATATATGCGGATCAAACAGCTGGCTAGGAATTCCACTGGCATCAAGAGCAAACCATCCAGCTGGCCTATATGACATAACATCACCAGTCTGGAGGGTTATAATAAGTAAAATCCCTACCATCCATTTTGCTGGTAAAGCTTCTGACGTGCTTTTTCGTGGATTTTTATTTCCTTTATTTGTGGTTTCCTCTGTTCTTTTTTTTTTTTCCCCATTATTTTGATCGGTGGAAACTTTTCTGAAAGTGATATCCTTTCTTTAGGATCTGTTTTGTTCATTACTTCACAGGATTGACTGTGGTTTGGTGTATATTGTTTCTCTTCAAGTTCTTTTAAAGGCTGTCCACATCTTTAACACAGAGGTACTAGTTTTCTGTTCCAGTGGTTTCGTAAAAGTTTATCTTGGATTCAGGCCACCACATTGGGGATGACCTTTCTATAGTAGGAAGGACCCACAAAAGAAAAATGCTCAAGATTTCACAGGAAGAGGAGAGCTAGAAATGCTGACTTTGCCAGGGCTGTGGCAGACAGGCCTGGTGGCATCTGTGAAGGTCCTGAAAAGAAACCCCAAACTTGATCATTTTTATAAAATACTGGTGACAACCAGCTTCTTTCAATTCCCAAAGGAGAAAAGAAATCTCAAGTTAGGGTAAAGAACTGAATCCTTAA